CCGGAAACCATTACCGGAGAAGCCATGGCCAACTCGGCCATTGCCAATTGCGGATGGAGTTTTGTCGTCCTCATGTCGCGTCAAGGCAAAATTCGATTGAGTGAATTCTTTCAAAGCTACACGGAAAGTGAAAAGAGACGCATTCTCCGTGACATTGGCGCTGATATTTTGCCAAGAGCTCCCAAAATGTGCAATATCGTCGAAAAGGGAACCTACAAATTCGTCTACAGACGATATGCCAGTCTCTACTTTGTCGTGGGTGTTCCGCTCGGATTGAATGAATTGATTGTACTCGAACAAATTCATCTTTTCGTCGAAGCACTCGATGGATACTTTAATTCGGGTGAGTACTAATACTGATGAGCAGTAGAAATGGTTGGGTCATCGACAAGTGGCGCGTTGAGTTTCTTTTTCTTGTTGTTTTCTCAAAACATGCTTCGTCTCTGTTTTTGTTTTCTATTATTACAGTCTGCGAATTGGATTTGGTCTTTTCCCTGCACAAATCCCTCCTCATTCTCTTTGAAATGTTTATTGGGGGCATGCTTTGTGAATCCAGTAAACGAGAAGTACTCAAATCCATTGTCGAAGCAGAAGAATTAGTCGAAGAAATGACAAAACCAGGTGAAGATACCGCCAGTCAGCTCGATGATGGATTGAGTTTCCAGGAACAATTCCAATTGGGAAGGACTCCGGGACGACGAACGGGACCCGCGGCCGGTCCGGGTGGACGTCGTTAAGAGTATTGTATGGTATGCAACAAGAGAACGTATGTGTGGAGGGAGCGAATGGCAATCTTATAGTGACACTAGTGGCTCCGTGATATCATCAGCGTTGCCGGTGAGAGGTATTTGGTTGGAGCTACAGTCGCAGTATTGCGCTCTAGCTAGTGCAGGAGCAAGGACAGCACTCCTATGGACGACACTGTTCATCCTCTAATGATAAGGTCTTTTAAGTCAGCTTCAACAGTGCCTCCCATGTAGGTTTTTATCTATCGAGTCTCTGGACAGCTAATTCCTCTCTGTAGTGATTGACTGAGTCGAGTCGATTGAAGGCGGGATCCCTCCTAATGCTTCCAGAACTGGAAGGCCGGGTTAGTCTCTCCCACACTTGCGTTTCGTGCTCTTATTGCTCTGGAACGAGTCCAGTCCAGTCTCTCAATCGTCTTCCCTCCGTTCTGACAGTTCGCTGTGTGCAAATCCTCCCATTGCCTGCTCATTCGCAATTGAAAACAACGAGACTACCACACAGCTACAGCAGTTTCGTTTGGTGTTTATACTGCAGCTTAGGACAACAAGAGCACTGCCATTCCCACTATTCTACATCTCGACACGATACATACTACGCTGTACCAGTACCGCAGTAATACTAGAACATGGACACGTTCCAATTACAGTCGTACAACGAATTCGATTCCATGATGCAGGACGGTTGTGTTTTAAAACCCAAGGCAACCTTCTTGATTTTATTCGTTTGGGTTCCATAATAAGGTGACAGTCCCGACAATAGGATGATGATGATAGGAAGCAGCACATTTTATTTTTGGATTGATGACAGTTGCAAATAATGGACACAGTGTCCATTCTTGGATGGATTGGGATTATTGATGTGGTGTGAATTCGTTGTGTGTGTGGTGTTTGTTTGGCCCGCCTTTCTTTTCATTCCATTCATACAGTATAACCATCCTGTCGTTTCTCCTCTTGACGGCGCTGGAATCTACCAAGAATCCATCCTTTTGGTCCACTCTCTTCTCCATCAGATCGTCGTTTGTTGCTGCCTCCCGTCTTATTATTATTATTGCGGGCAATATTGGAGGATAATTTGGCGGCGGTTGGTTTGCTCGTATCGGCGGTTTCGCTTTTGATGGAAGGTGCGGCACTTCCATCGTCGTTTTTGGCATTGGGCGCCTTGTTGGGTGGTGAGTTTTTGGCAGCAGCTGCCGCGTCAGTGGGTGCGGCTTCTTTTTTGGCGGCTGCGACTGCAGCAGAGGATGATTTTCGCATGGACACTCGACTCTTGCTATTGTTGGCCTTTGGATTATTATTCGTATCGGGAGCTGCAGCGACGGTGCCAGCGGGTGTATTCCTCTGCCGTGCCGACATGTGTACGCGGAATCCAAAGACGCGTGGGACATATGCCGAGTTGGGTGGTAGTGGATCGGGCACGAGATTGGAAAATGTCATGAGAAACAAGTGTGGAAAAGTAGTCCCAAAGGCGGCCCCATCGACCCCGGCAGCCCCCGCTCCGTGATGACTGGAACTCCGTGATCGAATGGGAGGTGGATGATAGACACATTGACATTTGGGACAAAAGATTTTGACCGTGTCGGCGCCCATTTCGTCCTTGAGTCCGACCGGTAATACGGGTTGTCCTTGACATTGTGCCAGTGGACAAGTGCCAAATTCTTTGGCGGCGTACTGGTAAAAATAGAAATAGAAATTGGAAAATGAAGGTTGAGAGCAGAAGAGTTAGTCAGTGGAGAGAAAGACAACTCATCATTCACATTCATCTAGTTGTATCTATACTACTCACCTTATTATACATGGCATCGAGTCCATGAGCCGTAATGATATATCGAGCATGTATAAGACCATAGAGAGTACAAGCACTCTGTGTCAAATGGGAGTCGTCCGAATCATCGGGTCCAATTCGATCGAGAATGAGATCGAGACAATCGGAAAAGTTGGAGACACACGCTCGCAGTCCATAAAGATTAAACCCATCTTCAATGTACGATCGTTCCACTTCGCAAAACATTTCGTGGCCTTTCAGACCGCAGAACCTATACAAATAGTTAAGTGAGAGTGAAGTGAGCGAGTGACAGCATGGGCAATGGAGAGAGAAGAGAAGAGAAGAGATCTTTGTACTGTATACATCGGTGGTGTAGACGAATGATCCATAGAGTATATACTCACCACTGTATCCACGGTTCATCGTGTCCAGAGCCTGAGGAATCTTCATTGAATGCCATGATGACGGTTTGACTATTGTGTTGTGTACTGAGGAATTGGCGGAAGTGAGTGGGACAGTACGGTAAATCTAGCCAGCTTAGCTTCACTTGGTGCAGGTGGATGGATGGAATGCAATCAAATAAATGAGTTGAGAGGTGTTCGGCGGCCTTCAGTGGCAGTCGTAAGGTACAGGAGGTCCTCTTGTCGCAACCTTCTGGTTAGATAGTTGGGATTGATGGATTCGATTCGGTGTGGGTATCGCTGATGATGTCTGTCACAAGGGAATCTCGGAGGCACTGTTGTTGTGGAACGTGAGGGGCTGCTTTGAGATTGCTGTTGCGCTGCTGCTCGATCTGCCTCGTTTGGAGTTGTTGATGGCCCGCTTCGGGACGACGAAGGAAGGTTGGACGACGAAGGAAGGTTGGACGACGAAGGAAGGTTGGACGACGAGTCGAGTCCTCAGTCGAGTCGAGTCCAAAAAAGATTGCACTGTTGCTCTATAATTCAGGTCGATGAGGTAAAATATTGGGTTCAAATACATGTACTTTGCATATTCGAGTCAAAATAATTATTACCTCATCTACCTGTAATCTGGTGTCTGGTCCACCATCGGAAGGTTGAAGACGACGAATGACGTTTGTTGCTGCCCATCGTTCATTTTCTTGCATTTCGCCATCACGGTCACAGGTGGAAGCAAAGACACAAAAAGCATCAGGTAGTCTAGATACATCTAGATGGGCAAATGCATTCCAGCCAGCTTACTCATCATCACTCACATCACTTACATCAGTAGCATCCTCATCAGCCAAGTAAGGCATCTTTTAAAAGCCACAATTATTGAAAAAAGGCACCCACAGGAACCATAGCTGCTAGCGGTATCATTTTTCAACCCTGAGTGGACAACAACAAACATGAGAATGAAGTTCCAGGCATCCGTGATCTTGTCCCTATGTTCTCTGTCAGCTTGGCAGCTCCAGGATACCCATTGGGGTATCCAAGCCTTTGTCCCTCTTCATCGCCACTACTATCATCACCACAATAAGGCAGTAGTTCCAACCATCACCACAAGAAGAGCCGAATCTGCTACCGATACTGCTACTGCTACTACTGTCAATGGGGACGCAGACGACGACGAAACTGTGGCTACCGAAGCCGAAACCATTGCTCCACCCGTCCTCGAAACCAAAGCTTCCTTTTCCGTTGACACCACCACCAGCGAGTTTGGGAATCCCGTACATACACTCACTTTTGAATCCATTCCGGGACAAGAAGTGGGCGTACCACCCATCACCATGGAAACTGGAAAAATCGGGAGACAGGCAGCAGGAGCCATTGTCTTGACACGAGGTGACACGGTCTTGTACGCCACGGCAGCACGGGATCATGCCCCCAAAGATAATATCGACTTTTTACCACTCTCGGTAGAACATCAAGAACGATTTTCATCCGCCGGGTTGACGTCGGGATCGTACAACAAACGCGATGGACGACCCGCCGAACACGAAATTTTGACCTGTCGACTCATTGATCGACCACTGCGACCACTCATTAATAGTGGATGGAGACACGAAACGCAACTCTTGAATTGGGTACTCAGTTACGATGGCATTCGATCCTGTGATCCATTGGCCATTATAGCCAGTGCCGCCGCACTCTATATCAGTGACGTGCCGCTCACCAAACCAGTCGCATCGGTCAATGTGGGCTATGTTAACGAACAACTCATTATCAATCCCAGCAATGAACAGATGGAATCCAGTCGATTGCATTTGACCGTCGCGGGGACCAAAGATGGAATCATGATGATTGAGGGAGCAGCCGACTTTTTACCCGAAAAAATCATGATTGACGCCGTCAAATTCGGTCATGACGCCATTATCGGACTCTGTGATGGTATGGAAGCCTTGGGCAAACTCGTGGGCAAGGAGAAAAAAATCGATACCATCAAACCACCCGTGGAGGGATTGCAGGAACGAGTGGATGCACTCTTTACCGAACGAGTCGATGCCATGTACACGGGTGGCGGGAGCAAAGAAGAGAGCGGTAAAACCATGTGGGAATTGCAAACAGCCGTCGTGGTTGAGTTGGAAGAGGAATTCCCCGAGGAAGCAATTGCCATCAAGGTTGCCTTTAAGGATCTGTTGTGTCGTCGCATGTTTGTGTTAGGCAAAGAAAAAGGACTTCGGTGCGATGGAAGACAACTCGATGAGATTCGAAAACTGAACATGGAGGCTGGATTCCTCCCACGAGTGCATGGATCGGCTATCTTTACACGTGGAGAAACGCAAGCAATTGCTACGGCAACTTTGGGGGATTCCGGTATGCGCCAAAAGATTGACAAGATTGATGGACAGGAGCAAAAGAGATTCTACTTGCAGTACACATTCCCACCCAGTTGTGTAGGTGAAACGGGCCGTGTGGGTGCTCCCGGTCGGAGAGAAGTCGGTCATGGAAACCTGGCAGAGCGGTAAGTGTGCAACGCATGGATGGATGGGGCAGAAACCAAATGGATTGCCAGTTAGTTCCATGTGTTTTGGTGGATCTGAGCTATTTGATATTACAGTGGAAGCGTTCTAACTTTGTTCTTGATATCTCGTCGGTATTGACGGCATTCATGGTCGTTGTGCAATCAGCGCCTTGATTCCAACGTTGCCAACCGAAGGAGATTTCCCCTACACTATTCGCGTGGAATCCTTGATCACCGAATCACATGGATCAAGTTCAATGGCAAGCGTTTGTGGAGGCTGCCTGGCTCTGATGGATGCAGGAGTGCCAATCAAGAGCCCTGTAGCAGGAGTTGCCATGGGAATGCTTTTGGGCGACAAAGAAGGTGTTTCTGATGAAAATGCCATCATTCTTACGGATATCCTGGGCACGGAAGATGCCCTGGGAACAATGGATTTCAAAGTGGCCGGAGACAGAGAAGGAATCACAACGTTTCAACTCGACATCAAATGTGAAGGCTTGACATTGCAGACAATGGAGCGTGCCCTGGAACAAGCCAGAGTGGGAAGATTACACTTGCTTGACGAAATGGAAAAGACACTACCAAAACCACGAGAAGTGTTGCCACCAACTGTCCCGAAAATGCGAACATTTGAAATTCCCTTCGAGTCAATAGGCAAAGTCATTGGTCCTGGAGGCAAACAAATTCGTGCCATCATTGAGGATAATGCATTGGAAAATATGGACGTTAAGGATGATGGAACCATTCAACTTTCAGGTTTCGACATGGAAAAGTTGGCGGAGGCGGAAGAGTTTGTCAAGCTTTTAATTGCAGGAGGAGGAGGCCGAGGCAACAGACCTGGAGGAGGCAGGTCTGACAAACCACCCTATAAAGGTCCAGATCCAGTAGAAGGTGAAACCTACAAGGGTAAAATCACCGGTATCCACAACTTTGGTGTGTTTTTGGAGTTCCTTCCAGGTGCCGAAGATGGCTCCTACCCTGGACTGGAGGGGTTGTGTCATGTCTCAGAGCTTGCTGGTGAGCGCGTCCGCAACTGCGAAGGCTTCATGAGGTCGATGGGCGTGGATGAATTAGAAGTGAAGTACATGGGTCAAAACAAGGGCAAACACCAACTGAGTCGAAAGGCTGTTCTTGAGGAAAAATATGGCGGAAAGAAAAGCCGACCGCCGCCAAAGAAGGATTCAGCTCCAGCTGTGGCGAAGATGCCAGCGGATGAAATTGATGTAATTGCAAAAGCCATCGAGGGCATTGCAGATTAGTTTGAAACCGAAACGCATCCAAGCAAGCTTTCCTTCATAGACTAGCTACTCTGCGTTCTATTCTGGCTATCAGATCTATCTCTGTAACTTTTAAATCTCTACATGTCATCTACCCACCTTGATCGCCATTGCTTTCGCTTCCTTGTTTCAGTTCGCCGTCGTCCGAAGTCACCAGCAAAGGAGGTTCCTGTCCCATTGCATTCATCATGCTTCGTACAGGACCAGGGCCACCCGATCCTGCGTCCAGAGACTGCAACAGGTTTAGCAAAAGGCGTGATTCTTCCCCTGAATCGTTGTCAGTCCCTAAGAGTACTCCCGCGTCATTGAGGGCTTCAGAGTCCACCGCCACCGAAGCTGCTGCTGTGCCCTTCAACTCCGCGTCCATAGCAGCCTGAAAGAATAACAAAGAGATGACAAGAAGTTGAGCCCTACTCATTGCGCTTGCGTGGCTCAAAGAGCATCTTACCATTAGCTCTACAACGTCAGTGTCAACGGCGTCATTGCTTTCGTCGTCGTCTTCACCCTCGTCTGGTAACATGGCTTGGTAGTCATCGCCCGAGAAGAATTCGTCATTTCCGTCCCCATCCAGCGAAGTCGCCTTGCCCACAGGAAAAACAATATCATTGGTAGTTGTAGATGGGTCTAGCACCGTTTTCAGCAAATTCAGAAAGACTCGAGGCTGGATTTCAACAGGGATATCATCGTTGTCATCAGCAGCAGTAGCGTCTGTCCTTGAGACCTTCTGCTTATCATACGAAACTCCTTCCGGCCCACTCTTGTCTCCCATAAAGTCTTGAACAGCATTCAGCATTGTATCGAGTTGAGCAGCTTGTTCCTTTTCTTCATCTTGTCGTGTTGTTTTGGATGCAGCACTGTCGTTGTCGTTGGGATCCACCAACAACGTGCCGCGTACTTGTTTTTCCATGGTCTCCACGGTGAACAACATCCAATCTTCATTTGGATCCACTTCATCTTGACGTGGAACGACAAAGTCTAGCTGTTCGCTGTCCACCTTTTTGAGCTCGCGTTGTATTTGTGCCGCCAGGGATGTATCGGGATGCGACAACGGGCATATGTTTTCGCCCACGAGCTCTTCCGCCACCACTGGACATTGCATGATATTGCTAATGTCGTGAACGGCGTGATTGGGCCCCATTCTCCAAGCATCCAACAGCCAAGTGGCTGATTCCATCCCCCACAACTCTCGCAGTAGGCGTGGCCAGTAGTGGAGGACGCGGCGTTCCGTGGAGGATGATTGCAGGGTTGCTACATGCAGCAGCTCATTGAATCCAGCCACCAATCGCACACCGATATGTACGGCATGACACAGATGAGGCGTGGCTTCGACGGCACATTGTCGTTGTATCCGTCGTAGCTCTACCGATTGATAGGCTTTTGGGACTGTGGTTTCAGTTTTCCAAGCGTGAGCTGATACTAGCGTTCGGAGCATGGCATAGTTGGTGCGAGAAAAGTTGTGGGTTGTAAAGACCCAATCTTCGCACTCGATACTACTACTTGTACTTGTTGTGGAGGTGGTTTGTGTGGTGGAAGATTTGGAGGATGGGTTCTTGCTCTTTTTCTTTTGTATAGTTTTGAGTTCTGGTTGGAGCGTATAGGTGGCAAAGGCAATAATAGCTGCATTGACCAAATCAGGTCTTCGGTGAATCAAGTAGGCAACCGGACGGGGGAGTGCGATGACAGCCTTGTGCTCATGAGTGCTCGCTGTTTTGGCCTTGTCTGGTTGTTGGCTTTTACTCAGGATGTAGGATGGTACAAACCGAGCAACACAGTCTCGAATGGCCTCTTGAACTCTGCCAGGATTCTGCACTTGGCTGCCTCCTTTTTGTAGCGTTTTCAATGCCTCCTGCAACCCCAGGTTGTGGGTCTGATTGTTGGTACTGGAATTGGAATTGGTAGGTGCTACTGGCAATAATTGTATTTGTCCATTTTGAACCCAACATCTGTGCCGCATAGCTTCTGGCCCCACATCATCCACCCAGGAAGGCAAGACATTGGCACTCTCAATGAGGAGAATCTGTCCATCCTGCACATCCCAGCATTCCACGGCAATCTGTGATGATTGCTCTGTAAATTGTCGCACCAGTTCCACGGCCGTCCATTCGTCCGCCACATTGGCACCGTACCGACAAATGGCACGCAAGTGGGGGATTTGCTCGCTTCCATGAATGCCAAAGACGGGACCATCTCCACCCATATGCCATTGGTAACGCTGTGTTTGAAAAAAGGCATTCAACTCTTTGGCAAGAGCCGCCAATCGAAGCAAGACTTGAATTTCGGTCTCATCAGATGGTAAGACGTGCACGTCCAGCCACAAGGAATCGTGATCCACATCAGCAAGCTCGTGACGTTCTGCTTGGCGCAAGAGAGCCTCCTGTAGCAACGAACCTGCTTCCATCGTAAGTCGATCGATGAACCAACCAAAAGAAGCTTTCGTGGAAATATAATCCTTGCTGCAGTGTCTGTGTGTATTTTACTAAGGTCTTGTACAGTACTCGACGTCTTGTCAGCTCTGTGTCTGTGTTTTTGTCGAGGTGTCGAAGAGAGTGTGTGGTGGGTGGGTGGGTGGGCGAAAGATTTGCTGGAGATTTTGAAGAAACAAAATCAAAACTTTTGATTTGGCCAAATCACACAGCAAGGCCCCTTTTTGTCAAATCAGCCATCCTGTCGAGTCTGCAACACCATCACGAAGACAAATCTACACAACATTGCTCCTGTACCGGTACCGTACGGTAGCATGCTGGAGGCCCTAGTTCTTTGTGTACAGGTAGCACAAGAACGAGCTCACAGCTTCAAGGAAACAATGTGTTCGAATTTGACATGTCTTCCTCCAAAGCCAGACCTGCACATATCAGATTCTCATACGAAACCTGAACGTCGCTTAGCGTCTTCTACGCTTACCGATGTGCATTCCTACAATCTACAATCCTCCAAAAATTACAGACCAGCCTTTCAACTATCATAGGTTATTTACAATTGGGCTTAGATTGTTTATTTACAGTATCCAATCTTGGTTTGGCTGGGTACACGGTTGCACAACCTTCTCATATTTACATGCACCCCAGAATCAAATCACTGCCACACCAATCTTTGTCATTTCTTCTTGATGTAATTGTTGCATCGATTTAGTGCATGAAGTGCTCAATGATTCCCTTTCCATCAACCAACTCTTGTGCCATGAATCCTGCAGCCGCAAGCATGGCCAATCTTCCATTTTGGAGTTCCTTGTTTTGGAGAACCAAAAGCTCTTCAGGATCCTCAGGCTTCAATCCAAGGGGATCAAATCCAATGTCACCAGGAGTGTAATCAGCGCGGAGAAGGCCTGGTTGGTCAACTGGAACATCAGCAGGATCAACCCATCCAATCTCAGCACGTTTTTGTTCAGCAGCTCCAATTCCAGTAACCAACAAGGCCCAGAAAAGAGGTGGGACCTGAGCAAGGTGGGAAATGGCAGGACCGGTAACACTAGCATCCCACAAGAAGGAGGATCCTTCAACAGCTTCTCCAGCCAAGAAACCAATGGCAGCAAGCATGGCAACACGTCCATGTGTAAGCTCAGCCTCACGGTATCGCTTCAAAGTCTTCTCATCAGCCTTGGCCGCAAAACCAAGAGGGTCCCAGATGCCAACAGGCTCCAGAGCTCCAGGAATAGTTTCAACAGTGAAAGCAGGTGCAGCCACAGTGGCAGCCTTCTTGGAAGCAACACCAAAAGGGCTGAAAGCACTGGCAGAAGCAGCAAAAAGAGTGATGGCAGCAGCGAACTTCATTTTGGTTGGTTGGTGGTTTTCAAGGTTTTTTGTTTTTGTTTGCAGCTTGTTCTCAAGTTGATTTTGTGAGACTGAAGTGGGGCGAAGAGAAAAAAACATTCTGATCGCTGACTAAAAGTACATCCATCAGCCTTTGACCACGCATTCTTCCGGATGGGAAAGCATCAGCACAATGGCTCTACAGCGATCGAAAGCATTCTGACGGCAGCCCTGAGCCGCCAACTCAACTCCATGGGATTGCATCATTCCAGACTGAGTTGAGTCCATCACGCAGTGGTCAGTTCATTTGCCAGCATCGAGATCGCAATCAGAGACAGCAATGACTCAGCCATTTTCACTCCAACCCTAAACTTGTTTTGAAACAAATGCAATCGCTTGTCGTACGTATCGTACAGTGCAGAATAAAGGCAACTAAATTGATGCAATGCAATCAAGGTGAGTGAGGAGTTGCGGTGGCCTTGGCAGGATACTGTAAGCTGCTGCTTGCTGTTACGGTACTTATTAGGATATCCCCATATCCAAGATTGCTGGATGAGCCGGTAAGCAAAAATTTGGAAAACCTGGTCTGCCGTTGCATTGGGTTGGGTTCGAGCACCTCCACCAGCCTTCCCCGGCCCATTCCACCCAACGCTTGTTCTCACATTTTGGAGCAAACAAACGTAAGTGTCAGTCTACGAAACTTGATCAGGGGCCTCGAGTATTACGAAAGCTAGATTGCATTGAACATTTTTGACAGTGGGGAAAAGAATCGAGGCCATGATTGGTTTTGTGACTTGTAGTAGAAGCAGTCGGATACTGTTGATGCTGTTGCTGTTCTGGGCATCTGCCAGTACCAACGATGCGGCAGGAGCAGAAGAGCAGCATCACTCTAATGATAAACATGGTCAGCATCAAGCAACTACCGACCAAGCAGAGCAGAATACGAGGGGACTCGGCAGACGCGGCAATTACGGTCGACAAAGGGGATTCTTGGGTGGGCGATTTCCAGATATTGTACCTGCAACACCGGCAACAGTAACTGTCGTCAAGACAAAGAGGAGATATCGTAGGAATTCCAACGATGGATACTACCGAGAAGGAGGAAAAGGCGGGAAAGGTGGCGCAGAAAGATACTCCAAGTCAAAGGGCAAGGGAGGTCGCAATGACGACGACTATGGGTATGGGCACGACCATGACCATGGCCATGGCTATGGCTATGTCGACGGGCCAGGAAGATATGGTGGAGGAAGAGGTAGATACCCGGATGGCGGAGGATACCCGGGCGGCGGATACCCTGGTGGTGGATACCCGGGAGGTGGATACCCGGATGGTGGATATCTGCCAGTGAATGATGGTTTGCCTGTGTACCTGGATGACGAATTTGTTGAAGATGGCTTTGCGGATGATGACTTTGCGGGGGATGACTTTGTCAACAACAACGTGTATGACATCAATGATTGCCTCCCTTATCCCTTTAGAAGGGATAGGAAAGAACGACATCTTCGTGGCAGCCAACCGGGCAAAGAAAACGAGGTTGACCGTCAGCTTAAAGGCAAGAGGTATGGCAGCAAAAGCAAGGGAGGAAAAGGAGGAAAAGGAGGAGATTACGGTTACGGAGGAGACAATGGCTACGGAGGAGGCTACGGGTACGGAGGAGGATACGGGTACGGAGGCGGCTACGGGTACGGAGGAGGAAACGGGTACGACGGAAGATATCCTCCCGCAGGAGAGGGGTATGCTAGCAGGTATCGTCCTGCAAGGGGTTATGTCTTTCAAGGGGGATACGGGCCCGGTTACGGAGGGATCCCTGTGCCAAATTACGGAGTGGTTCCTGGTGGAGATGGATTCGGCTGGGGCTTTGAATACGGACCCAACGGGTTGCTTCGTCCAAGGTGCCCTCCTGGGTATGTCTATTATGACCAGCTTCCACCTGCAGACCGTCCAGAAAGACCTGGTTTGGAGGACTCACCTTCTGCCGACATGATGCCTGGTCCAGCGACTCCTGGTCCAGGTCCCGTGCCAGCGACTCCTCAACCAGTTACACCAGCAACTCCCGTACCTGCCACCCCAGT